AAATGGGTCATGTGACCGTGTGCGAATATGAGTTTTTTGCTAGGTGAGTATTTTTGTGGCAATCCTGCCCTCGGTTGTCCTCAGTTTGCTAACATACCGGCTATGGATCAGTTAGTAGTATAATCTACTTTTATTTTGTTCGAGATTGGCAGATGTGTTACAATGGGAACGAAAAAACCGGTATCCTCTGTGTATTTCAATTGTAAGAAAATGTGCTCAGTAGTTTCTACGTAGTTCAGGGAATCGAACACACTTACACTATTGAGTTGTTTTTATCTATCTGCACTGTCCACTGTGATCGATTCTACCAATACTCTTCAAGCATACTTCATGGACAAAAGCATTCGCTAATTCAAGGATTTGCGTTGTGGTCCTCTAAGTGTTCCGTGACCCGAGGTCTCAGTCACTCGTTTGAAAAACCTTTTCTCTCTCTCCATGTCCCCAATCACACCAGATATCTGTTTTTGTTGCTACTGAAGGCGGACTACTTCTCTCTTCAAATACGCTGACGACGTGGTTTTATGCCAGGCCATCTCCGAGTCTTTTGGTCTTTCATAATATCCTAGTCGAGGTTGTATCGACCACATCTTCATTCTGCTTAATTCTGGAGCATCGACATTCTTTTCGTAGACCCACCATCTTTGAAAGCGGCTTTCGACTCAGTCGACCGCTCTAAACTCTGGCGCTGCCTTTCCTTCAAAGAAGTGTTCGAGAAGCTTATTTCAATACAAGAATCTCTTTATACTAATAGCCGAAATCGAGTTCGGGCTTCAGCACTTTTTTGCCCGAGTTCATCACGGAAAGTGGTTTTCGTCAGGGTTGCCCTCTCTCTCTCTCCTTTTCTAATTAACTTTGTTATACATTTGATTCTGGTAACGGCCCTTTCCTCGTGCGAGAGTAGCGGCATCGATTTCCTTCCAGGTGGCCGACTGTCTGATGTGGAGCATGCAGACGATATTGTGCTGTTAAGCGAAGATGCAGATAAGTTTGCAAGCTTTTCGGGATAGCTTGAGCGCCATCGTTGCCATGTTCAGTATGCGTTTAGCATCTTCAAAGTGTACAATGTTACTTCAAGACTGGGTTAATCCAGCACCCAGCGTCACTCCAACCGCTGAAGTAGTAGAGCAAGTGGATACGTTTTGTTATTCAGGCAGCTACATCTCACTCGGTGGACGCATCACAGATGGAGTGTCAGCGCGCATGCAGAAGGCTCGGTTGGCATTTGCTAACTTGAGACATCTGTGGCGTCGTCGCGACATCCGGCTGTCTGTGAATGGTCGAGTGTATGCCGCGACAGTTCGGCCAGTCCTGCTCTACGGTGCAGAGACTTGGCCACTAAGGGAACAGGATAAAAATAGATTGTCGGTGTTTGAACACCGCTGTCTACGCAGCATTTGCATGAATCTGCTGGGGCAGCCGGATGAACAACGCTGAGATTAGGCGCAGAGTTTTAGGCAGTTGTGGTCGTCCACTGGAGCAAGTAGTCGACCTCCATAGAGTACGTTGGTTGGGACATGTGTTACGCATGTCACCAAATAGGTTACCACGGCAAACGAAGACCTGGCATGAGGGTATGAAAACCCTAACCAGGAGTCTGGGTCACACAGGTCCTGTTAGGCTTCCTGTCTGGTGACCTCGGGATGATCGTAACCAAGGGTTAGAGACACTTAGTGATATGAC